AAGCATGAGGCTAAGCAGAGAGTAAAGTTGAGTTTGCACTTTCTCTTTTTGCTAGATAGCTTCGTATATGCTTTGATGGAAGTATTTCTCTGCTTAGGATGCTCAAGCTTGTTTTTGAACTCATGCTTCTACCTATATTTATAGGCCTTCATGGTTGATCAATCTCATCCGTTGGTTGAGATGGATTAATCTTGTGCGTTGAGGGTCTGGCAAGGACGAATTGTACATTTGTCTTCTTGTGCAGGAGCTTTTAATATTTTTGTTTTCTGTCTTGAATGATTGGGCTGCGGTATGGGTGTGTCTTCAGCCGCTGCAGCTTCACTCCAAGAAGTCCTCCCATGCTATAGGACCGTGTATTTAATTTTTGTCTTCCAATCAATATTCAATGTATTCGAGCATCTCAAATGTGACCTATATTTAATCTTTGAGTAAAATGATATATGCCGGTAGGATTTAAATATCCTATGAAGGTAAAAAGTTACCTTATTGCATTTTTATGTATCCGGTAATATATCATTAATCTTAAAGATTGTACATTTATTTTTGTCACTTATGATTTAAATTTAAATGTTACTTCTGAAAATAAGACTCAATGTAAATTTGTTTAGTATAGTGGCATCATCAAAATCTATCAAAATTGGAGACTAACAGAGATATCCCTTCCCCTCATAAACCCAGCCTGTTCAACTGAAATCAGTTTGGGAAGAATTTCCATCATCCTAGTAGTCAAAATTTTTGTACATACTTTACTAATAAAATTGGAAAGGCTGATTGGTCTGAAGTCGGAGAAAGTAGAAATCTTATCCTTTTTTGGGACTAAAACTATAAGTGAGCTAGCCATTGCTTTAGGTATAAGATTTCCTAAGAAAAAATCCTGCACTGCCATAACAACATCATCACCCACAATAGACCAACAATGTCTAAAAAATACACCATTGTATCCATCAGGTCCAGGAGCACTGTCTTTATCTAATCCCCATACTGCAGTTTTGACTTCTTTACAGGATGGAAGCTTCATTAGCATCTGATTATCAGCAGCAGTCACCAATTCAGGAATGAAATCCAGCATAGCATCCACCTCAAAAACCTCTTTTTCTGCAAAGATATCCTGGAAGTATTCAACAGCAGCTTTACCAATGTCATCATCACCAGTAATAAGATTTCCAGAAAGGTCTTTGATAGCAGTTAAGTGCTGCATTCTTCTCTTAACATTGACATAAGCATGATAGAATTTAGTATTTAAATCTCCCTCCTTTAGCCATTTCAAATGAGCCCTTTGTCTCCAAAATTCCACCTCTTGTTTATGTCTATTAAGTAATAGAGATTGTTTAAAGGACCAATTATCCCTATTTTCTTCAGAGGAACAAGCCTCATATAATTGTTCTGCCTCAACCACTTCAGCTTCCAGTCGCTTTATATCCTGGAAAATGTCACCAAAATTATTTTTATTCCAATCCTTAAGCACCTGCTTCAAGGAATGCAATTTGTTATACAGACCCCTCATCCCACCAATAGTTGTAAATGACTTCCAAGCTGTGTTGACAACATCTAAAAAACTGGAATTAGATGTCCACATATTTTGAAATCTAAATGGTTTTGGAGCAGTATATCTCTGATTTTTGCACTGAACCAGGATTGGAGCATGATCAGAGGAGGCTTTGTTAAGATGATTGATCTGAATTGTGTCGTAAAGGTCCAAAAATGAAGAATTGAACAGAACCCTATCCAACCTTCGCCAGACTCTGCCACCAGATCTAACACCAGACCAAGTAAAGGAAGATCCAAGGAATGGTAAGTCAATCAAATCAGAATTAGCTAGACAGTCCTTAAATTCAGTCATGCTACTAGACAGAGGCGTAGTTTGCCCTTTATGTTCTCCCTGGTTGATAATAGCATTGAAATCCCCCCCCCCCCCCACAAACCAGGGATCCTTGTTACCATTAGCCCAATCTTCCAAGAACTGCCACAAATGTCTTCTTTCAGTACAACTGTGACTTCCATATATGGCAGTATACCAGGTAATGATAGGGACATAATGAAGCTTCAAATGAATAAATTGATGCCCAATAGAGAAGTCTGACAAATCAATTTTTGATTTATCCCAGAATAGCCAGATTTTATTAGTATTACAGCAAAAAGTAGAGAGCAGCCCTAATTGCAAAGCAATGTCATTAATTTTATTAGAGGAAACAATTGGCTCGATAACCACCAATAAGCAAATGTTCCACTGTCTAATTAAATTCCGTAACCTCGGACAGGAAGAAACAAGGCCACGGACATTCCAAATTATGCAATTCATAATGGAATAGCAGAAGAAGCTTGAGCCAGCTTTTTAGCTGCATTCCTAGTTAGCCTGGGAGTGTCTGGGACCACATGAGCACGCTGTTTCGTTTTCTTCTTTCTTGCAACAGTAATAAAACCATCCTTTTGTATGCTTTTTGGCTGTTCCAGGTTAGCTATAAGATCTGCATCTGACATGGAACTGATTTAATACTTGTTTATACTTTTCATTCATTTCACAAGGAACTGATGTAATACTTGTTTATACTTTTCATCCATTTCATAAGGAACTGATCTAATACTTATTTATACTTTTCATCCATTTCACATGGAACTGATCTAATATTTGTTTATACTTTTCATTCATTTCACTACAAACTGATGTAATACTTGTTTCATTTGGCAGTCTATATTGCGTGCAGTTTCAGTAGTGTTCCCACTGGCAGAGCATAGACACCGTGCACGCCATGTTTTTGTTAATTGGCATAAGACACATAAGGGCGATGAATTGAAAATGATATTCTGGAAAGCTGTCAAGGCCTACAACGAAGCTGATTTGCATGATGCACTAGATGAAATGGAAAAGGTTAGTCCAAGTGCTGTGGTTGCTTTCAAGGCATGTAATCCCCATGTATTTTGTAGAGCCTATGTTAGGAGAAACAGTAAGTGTGATGTCATTGTCAGCAACATGGCTGAAACATTTAATGGCTACATAATCAATGCTAGAGCCAAGCATATTATATTTATGCTAGAAGATATTAGGGGTGCCTTGATGCAAAGAATGGTGATGAAAAGGCAGGCTATGGAAAAAAGTGTGGCTGTCATCTGTCCTAGAATTATGAGCAGATTAGAGAAAGAAAAACATCATGCAGCCCAATGTACCCCTCTACCATCTAGTGAAGTGTCTTTTCAGGTTAGCCATTATTTAGATACATTGACTGTGAACTTGGAAAGTCAGAGTTGTACATGCAGAAAGTGGGACCTTAGTGGTATTCCATGCTGTCATGCAGTGTCTTGTATGTTCTTTATCAATGCAGCCCCTGAGGATTATGTTCATCAGTGCTATAGTAGAGAGGCATATATGAAAATGTACTCTGGAGGCATTGCCCCGTTAACTGGAGAAAGGCACTGGCCAAAAGTGGACTTCCCTTTGGACCCCCCTCCCATAAAAATTGGCCCTGGCAGACCAAGGAAAAATAGGATTAAACCTGCGCATGAAAACCCAAAGAAACCTGGGAAATTGACTAGGCATGGGGTTGAAATGTCATGTAGTATTTGCCAAAGTAAGAGCCACAATAAGAGAAAATGCCCTGACAAAAACAAGTCTATTGAGCCTCAGCCCAAGAGGGGTAGGGGAAGACCAAGAAAACAGATCCAAGATGCAGATACCTCTAGCAGTCACACAACAGCAGCTGTTCCATTAAGAATTGGTCGAGGAGGAAGGGTAATTCCTGGTAGGGGGATGAGTAGAGGTGGAAACAAAGTGGTTAGGGGTGGAAGAGGAAGAGGAAGAGGAAGAGGGCATCTTCCTGTGGGATATGGTGTAATTGTTGATGGGGAGGGGCATACTTGGATGAATGTAAGAAAAACCACTACTTTATACATCAATTATATTACTATAACATATATGTGTTTGTACTAACTTCACATTCTTATTCACAGAATCCTGGACAACAAGGAGGGCCAACTAATCTGTCAGAATCATGAGGTGGCTATTCAGCAATGAAGAAGTGAAGAGGACTGTTGTGTTTCAGTAGATTAGTGGCGTGTGAATTGTTATTGTGTTTGTAAGGATAATGATGAAGTTGTATTTCATCTGTTTCATGTTTCTGTATTTGTGGTAATGTAAACAATTTCATGTGTTTCATGTTTGTATGATTTAAGGATAATGATGGATATTTGTATGGATAATGGTCATGGTTTCATGTTTGTGTTGGAGAAAAGTGAAAAATTTGATGTGTTTCAGGTTTGTGTATGGATATCTGTAGTGTATTTGCTAGGTTGAATATAGGCTGCTTTGTAGGACTCAAATGTAGTTTACATCAGATGCAGGTTCCTTTATATACTCAAATGTTTCAGGTTCAGTTATATACTCAGACATTTCAGGTTCAATTATATACTCAGTTGTTTCAGGTTCCTTTATATGCTCACATGCAGGTTTCCTTTACTCATATCTGTTTCCTTTATTTGCTCACATGTGGCAGGTTCCTTTTTACACTCACATATAGGTTACATCTCAGTTTGTATTTAAAATTTTGACCTCAGATGAAGTTCTTGGAGCCATGGATATGATTACTATACCATATTTAAGAGTGAGATGGTGCTTGATGTTAGTTAAACCTGACCAATTTCCCTTCTGTACCACCCCCCTGAATAGGTTCCTTTATAGTTTGCAAATCAGTCTTAACTTTGCATATCAGTTTCTTACACTTAGACTTCTTTAACACTGACCATATCACTCAGTGTTTAGTTTGCATTTCAGTTTGCATATCAGTGTTTATAGTTGTTCTTTTGAGTCATGCTTGATAATGGTCATTACAATTTTAATTTCAGTTTGCATAGCAGATTGTCTATAGAATCAGACTTCTTTAACACTTTGATATCACTCAGACTTCATTTCAGAGTTGTAATGTTTGCAGACCAATTTGCATATCAAGTTGCATACATTATAAGACCACACATCACACAAATAAATCTCAAAATAGCTACAGGTCATTAAGGAAAATTACATAGCACAAACAAATAAAGTTACATTACTTTCAGTTCTGAAACAACACAAAATGAAACAGAAAATTACACAGCAGGTTTCCCATACAACACAATGGCAAACACAATCCAAGAAACAAGGACACCTATAAATGCATATTTCTCTCCTTTGGCATGCTTGCATACTAATGTCTGCAGCTCCTGAATTGTAGCTCTCATCTTTTCTTTCTTCTTTTTCAACTTTGCAATCTGATCTTGTAAAGCTTTTATTTCTTGCTCAAGTTGGTTCATTACTATTTCCTTTTCACTAAGCTTGTCAACAACAGAGGCCATGGGTGGTGGATATTCTTCAATCCATTGGAAAAATGAGCAATCTGATTTCTAACAAAAACAAAAAAAAACTGTCAATGCATTTCATTGAAATAATTCATACAAAAAACAAAAAATTCATCACAAGATTCAAGAATCACTCCAACTTACTGGCCAGAACGCACATCCATAGAATCTTCGCCCGCGGTTTGGCCCAGATTTTACAGTCCTAGCTATCGGACACACTTTGTGGTGGCATTCAACTGCACTGTTCATCTGGGTTTCTTCCCTTCTAGCCGAGGACGAAGACCAAGATGTTGAACCCATTCTATTTGTCGACGTCCTCTGGTCCACAAACAAGCGAAGAAGACGATAGACGGAATCTCTGTTTCAAATGGCGACGTCCTTCGGTCCACAAACAAGCGAAGAAGAAGAAGACAGATGAAGAGGATAAGGAGATGTCGAGATCTGATAAATGAAAAATAGGTTTATTAATTATACATGTGCATATCACGTGATGGTATGACCGACTCCCATTTTGTTAACCGGTCACAGTACAATTTAGGAAGACAACCCACTAAGTTGGGATTAAACATAAATAACGCGTACTACGGATTAATAGAAGCGGACGGCTAATAGTTCGGATTATTACAGTCAAATTTTCCTTTTTAAAATACAGGGCATCTATATTACGGAGTGTGTTTTATGGAACGGCCAGAATATATTTTAAGAACATACTCTGTACGTGATATTTAAATATTTGAACACGGGTATCCTTAACCCAAAAAATAAAATAAAATAAAATAGTAGTACTTCTTATACACCGACTCCAGCTCTGAAGAAATACTAAAGGCACAAAATCCAGATAACTTCATACGAGATGCCAACGGCAGGAACGCCGGCGGCCACCACTCCCACCGGCGGGCATGAACCACCTGACCCTCTAGGAGAAAGGGAAGGAACCTCGACTTTGTCTTCTCCCCTTGAGAACAAGGGCACCCGCGTGGAAGCTCAACCACGGAAACGGGTACGCGCAGGGTCGCTGCAACAACACCCCCAAAGGTCTGATGAAATCATGTTTGAAGCTGGTCCAATTGCAAATTCCCTCCTGGATTCTCAACATAAACTTAATGATTGTAGTACTAAACCACTGGCTATGGAAAAACTCATGCCTGCTGCTCCACAAACGTCTCCAAATGCAACATGGGGGTCTGGTGGCAGAAAACTATTTTCTGAAATGCTTCAGGACCATAAATGGTACATGGGGGAATCAGATTCAGAAGATGGACTATCTAAAGAAGATGAGGAACAAGATGATTTGCTAGAGGAGGAAGACCCGATGTGCCCCAATATTCACTTCACGGCTCAACAGAAACAAAAATATCGGAAGGAGTACCGTCGGGCAGTAATAATCAAAGTTTTAGGGAGATCCTTCCCGTTCCCTATCCTAGCACGCAGATTAGATATGATTTGGGCCAAAGGAGGTATACTGCAAATTTCTGATCTGACTTGTGGCTACTATCTTGTGAGATTCACAACAAAGGGAGACTATATAAATGCAATCTCAGGTGGACCATGGATGATTGGGGAGCATTACATTACCCTCCATCAATGGAGGAAAGGTTTCAACCCAAGCAACAACAAGATTCTGACTACAGTGGCATGGGTTCGCTTCCCGGGGCTGCCCATTGAATTTTATCACCCGGAAGCAGTCGAGCAAATTGCAAAGAAAATTGGCAAACCTGTGCGAGTAGATCAGGCGACTAAAACAGGGGCTCGAGGGAAATATGCACGGATAGGGGTGGAAGTGGACTTGACTAAACCGTTATTATCTCAATATAAAGTGGAAGGCATCACATACGATATCACATATGAAGGCCTACACCAAGTCTATTTCGAGTGTGGCCGGTACGGCCACGCCAAGGACAAATGTCCGACTATACATATGGCCACAAATGAAATGCTTGCACCTGACATAAATATTGTATGCCCAGCACCAGAGAGACCTGGACCTTATGGGGAATGGATGGTAGCGAAGAGAAGGGAACGCCGACCAAGTACAAAAACAGAAAAGAGTAGGAAAGAGGCCGTGTCACACTCGACTTCACAAGGGACTGCAACGGGGTCACGATTCAACATCCTGAATCAGAATAATGAGGGACATATGCAAACAATGGAAACAGAGTTACAAAACCACCCAAAAATCATACCTCAAAAAATCAAAAGACACACACAAAGAGGCAAGAAGTTTGATACATCTAGTCCTCATAATCCTAACCTTTCAAATGCTTCAAATGATGATGCACAACAGACTGATGCGGGATTGAAAGCACCCTTAAACCAACAGAATCAGGCCATTAAGCCTGGGCATAAACCAAAGCTTCCTACACATGCAATATCAGTACCCCGAACTCCTGATGTAATGGCCTTTTCATCCGGATCAGCCTTGAAACCCCAAGCCTCTAGTGTAAATCATAAAGCAAAGGATAAAGAGGTCGTGTCAGAGCAGGAAGTTACGGATGGCAGACAAAAATCCAAAGCAGGGCAGACTCCCCAGAATCGTACCTTGACAGAACTGCAACTACATCCCAAGCCACCTTTTGTACCTGACATTGAGATGGAGTTGTTATGCCCTACAGACTCAATAACAGCCGCAAATGATCAGCTACTACTCACCAGAGTAACTGAAACCAGAACATCGAATGACCATATGATGAATGACAAGGACCAAGCAGGGACATCCACTGCCACCTGTTAACTCCAAGGAAGTCTCTCTCCTCAATTTGCTATCCTTGTTTTTATGGATATAAACATATTTATTTGGAACTGTAGAGGTGCTGGTAGTAAGCGGTTCCTGCGTGTGTTCAAAGAATATCGCAGAAAGTATAACCCTAAAATAGTTGTTATTGTTGAACCTCGTATTAGTGGGGTAACGGCCCAAGGGGTCATCACTAAAATGGGATTTGATAAAAATGATTTTGTTGATGCTGTTGGGTTCTCTTGGGGATTTGGCTGCTCTGGGACTCAACTGTGGTTACAATATCCAGGCTGATATCCCATTCTCAATTTATTCATGTGCAGGTGCAACCTAAAGGGCTCCATAATCAAGCATGGCTCTTCACTGCGGTTTATGGGACCCCTACTCTAATACAACGACGAGAGCTATGGGAGGGTATACGGAATATTGCAGAAGAAAAGGACACCTCTTGGCTTCTAGCAGGGGATTTCAATTCAATATTAAGCGCAGATAAAAAGGTAGGGGGAGCACCGTTCAGCTCTAACCGAACTCAGGACTTCCGAGATTGCATAAATGACGCTGGTCTCATGGATATCGGCTTCTCAGGGGGGCCCTTTACCTGGTTTCGGAGCGGTATGAAGGAACGAATAGATCGAGGTCTTATTAACCAGCCATGGTCTGCACAGTTTCCTGAAACACTGGTGAAGCACTTGCCACGGGTGAAGTCTGACCATAGACCCCTACTGATTAAGCTAAACCTGAATACTCAACCTGCAGTGCCAAAACCATTCCGTTTCCTGGCAACTTGGTTTATGCATGATACCTTTATGCCTATGCTTAGTTCCGCCTGGTTGAAGGGCACCTCTTTGAAAGACTCTGTCAAACACTTTACTGAGGACGCACAAAACTGGAACCATAATGTCTTTGGGCATATTACGCGTAAAAAAAATGATCTACTATGCAGGATTGAAAGATTGGAGAAACGAATTGGCAGCATCGAGGAACCCTTGCATCTTAATAACCTGAGAGCAGAACTTTAGCTTATCTTACTTCAAGAGGAGATTACTTGGTGTCAAAAATCTAGAATGGAATGGATTGCCTCGGGGGATCGCAATACCAAATACTTTCATGCTATGACCCTGCACCGCCATAAAAGAAATCGAATTGTGGCTTTAAAAGACGGGCAGGGAGAATGGGTGGAAGATCCCTCAAAACTAATGAATCTTGCCCGGGATTTCTTTCTCAGTCTGTACACGGATGATGGGAACCCTACTTCTCCCCTCTCCCATGCTTTTACACCTCTAGATGATATGAGATGGCAGGATGCGGGTACGCAGTTTACAAAATTGGAGATCCGAGTTGTTGTTTCGTCAATGGGGGCTCTCAAAGCTCCGGGGAAGGATGGCTTGAATCCCATTTTCTTTCAGAAATGTTGGGATGTTGTGGGCAAAGCAATGGTGAAATTCTGTTTAGAATGTTGGGATGACCCAGGAAAAATTAAGGAGATTAACGAAACTATTCTAGTCCTTATCCCGAAGATTCCCTCCTCAACTCTTATAGAACACTTCAGACCTATCAGTTTGTGCAATGTAGTCTACAAAGTCATAGCAAAATGCTTAGCGGAGAATATCAAACCCTTGATGCCTCTGCTTGTTCATGAGACCCAAACGAGCTTCGTTCCCGGGAGACATATTACGGACAATATATGCATCCTCCAAGAAGTTGTTCACTCCATGAGAGTCAAGAAGGGTCAAACAGGATGGATGGTCTTGAAAGTTGACCTAGCAAAAGCCTATGATCGAATCAGGTGGGATTTTGTGAAGGAAACTTTACAAGCAACAGGTGCACCTGCTCGATTTGTCGAGCTAACCATGGCCTGCATCATGGATTCCACTATGCAGATACAATGGAACGGTGGCCTTTCCGAGGAATTCCGCCCTTCACGGGGCCTGCGACAGGGGTATCCTCTCTCACCGTATCTCTTTACTCTCTGTATGGAACGCTTAAGCCACTTGATTGAACATGCAGTAAGGGAAGGAAAATGGCAACCCATAAAGTTGACCAGATATGGGCCCTCCCTCTCTCACCTTTTTTTGCAGATGACTTGATATTATTTGGAGCAGCAACCATGCAACAGGTGCATACAATCAACCAGTGTTTTGACACTTTAAGTTTAGCCTCGGGACAAATTGTTAGCAAGGCCAAGTCGAGAGTTTTTTTCTCAGCTAATGTAACTCCAACCATTGCGAAGGATATTAGTGTTACCTTGGATATCCCCAAAACCAACAACCTTGGGAGATACCTGGGCATCCCAGTGATCCATGATCGGGTCTCCAAGGCAACTTTTGTTGAACTTATTGATAAGATTGATACTCGACTAGCTGGTTGGAAGGCATCCACTATGTCTTTGGCGGCCCGATTACTCTGGCCCAGTCAGTTCTCGCATCCCTTCCGGCGTATACCATGCAGACCTCTTTCCTCCCAGCCAGTGTTAGAGACTACATTGACCGAAAAATCCGAGCTTTCATATGGGGAAGCACTGTTGCAGGCAGAAAGATCCACCTTCTGGATTGGGAAACTCTTTGTCGCCCAAAAGAGGAAGGTGGGTTAGGGCTTCGAGGCGCTACTAGGACAAACGAGGCGTTCATGTTAAAAATAGCTTGGCGGCTCATAACCCACCCGAACGAGCTATGGGCAAAAGTGATAAGAGCGAAATACATCCGCCAAACAGATCAGGGTGTTCTTCCTCGCTTGCAGGGACGATTCTCAAACCTTTGGAAGGGGGTTCTACGCATCTGGCACCACCTCAACGATGCAATTCTGTGGAATATCAGAAGCGGACAACAAGCTCACTTTTGGACAGAAAGATGGCTCAATGATGGGCCTCCCCTGGTGGCGCTCACATCTGACCTTCCCCCAGAAATACTCCACCTCAATGTGGCAGACCTTATCAGCAACGGGGAGTGGAACACAAATTATCTAACAAATTTTTTGTCTACTGATGTTGTTTCACAGGTCTTGTTACATCCGATCCCTCATGACACAAACCATGACGAAATCAAATGGCGCTACACATCCAATGGCGAATTCTCACTCAAGACTGCCTATGAACTTACTGACAGTGATTCATACCACATACCCATCCACCCAGCTTGAAGAGCTATTTGACGAACACCAGCAACACAACGCATTCAAACGTTCCTTTGGCTAGCAAATCATAATAGGCTACTCACGAACCAAGAACGTGCGTGTAGACACTTGACGTCAGACACAAATTGCCCGATATGTGGGAATGGACCGGAAACACCTTGCATGTTCTTCGCGATTGTCCCTTTGCCAGAGCAACCTGGGCAGAAATTCTACAGCACGAACCAAAGGAGGAACCAGTGGATAATTTCCTTCACCAAGAACTTGGACCATGGCTTATGCATTATATCTCTGGGCGTGGTGTTTCCATAGACAGTACTCTTTTTGCAGGAACTTGTTGGCTATTGTGGAAAAATCGGAATAATCTCGTGTTCAGGGAGAGCTTCAGACATACGCACACATCCAATATCAAACTAAACAGCTTAGGCAACAGATTCTTGATACCTTGGAGAAGCAAAATCTCGTATATGGAGGTGGGAGGCGCAAAGAATAACATTTTATCAAATGGAGACCACCACCAACGGGTTGGACGTGTATCAACACTGATGGCTCAGTCATTCACTCTCCTTCTAGTACAGCGGCAGGTGGTATCATAAGGGGAGATGATGGATGCTTCATCAAAGCATTTGCAGTGAATCTGGGAGGAGGCTCAATTACCAGTGCAGAGTTGGTTGGAATTATGCATGGTCTCAAGGTCGCTTGGGAACAAGGGGTTAGGAAGATTATTCTGCAAACAAATTCTTCTGTAGCCAAGCAACTAGTAGAGAATGTCACGACGCACCACCCACACTTCTCATATGTTGCTGAAATTAGAATACTCTTAAATCTTTCTTGGGAAGTCCGCATGGAACACGTTTACAGAGAGGCTAATTTTCCTGCAGATTATTTAGCTTCGTTGGGCCACTCACTATCTGTGGGTTTGCATCTTTTTGACTTTCCTGTTGAATCCCTTGGCTATTGGTTGTACTTTGACTTAATTGGGGTTGAAACACCTCGCATTATTAATGGATAAAGGTTGGGGTGCCCTTAGCGCTCCGTTTTCTTGACAAAAAAAAATTATTTGAACACGTTTAAATTACACATAAGTCAATTATTATTTCAGTCCACTAAATTTGATAGTCTTAATGTGATGGACCAAAAGAAAAAGATAACAATCTCAGGATTCTCAACAGGACAAAAAAAAACACTATCTCCGTTCTCTTTTAATTGCAACATTAGACTTTTTACACTATTCACATATTCTGCTTTGATTATATTTCATTTATTAATGTATTATAAATTAAAATTTCAAAAATATTGTTAAATTCTTCTAATTCTAAATTTTCAAAATATGAATTTTATAATTTCTTTTACTAATAAGGAATGAAAGATATTAATGGCCAAACTTGTGTGTTGGCAAACGTGAAATGTTGACTGTTGCAATTAAAATGGAACGGAGGAAGTACATACTACAGCCAAAAGATCCTAGATTTTCATTTATAAAGTTTGGGTTTTCTATATTTCAAAATGCATTATTTACAACTTCTCTACACACTTGATTTTTTATATGATTCTCATACTCTTAATAAATTATTCTCTCAAACAAATTGCAAGTTTATAAATTATACTAAAAAATATTCAAATCATTTTTTCACTATTTATTATCCCGTGCATCGCACGGGTGAAAATCTAGTATTTTCAAACTTTCCAATCACTGGGCTCTGAATTGGTCCCAAACAATACCGGTTCTAGCCCGATCAGGACCAACAGACCAGGTCTGCCCATACTTGAAGGTTTTATTCTAATTGGGCGTTTTATTATGTTGCCCCAACAATATACGTAGTAATAGTGTAATACACTAAAACAATGCAAATTCACGATGGCGAAGTAAAAAATATTTTCTAAATTTATGATGCGATTTCACATCCAACACCCTCAAAACACAATTAGAACTAGGTTCTTAAATCATCAAAGTTTAGTCATAATAATGATAGTCGAGAAAAGATTGAAAATGAAGGGTAGAACCTAATGACATAAACATAAGAGGGGTGGGGGAAAGAGTCATCATCATATTCAATATATTTTAGATTTTCTTATTGGGTCCCATGGCACAAAAATATTTTCAACCAACAACCACCCTATGCTCTTTTAATACAGTCATCATTCTGATCATCCCCAGCTTCATTACCCCCAAAACCATTTCCATCAGAAGCGCCACTGACAAAGTTATCACTGCCATAACCCAAGCTGCCACTGCCGATATCATAGCGGTTCCCTCCACTGCCTTCAGTTCCAAAACTTCCACTGCCTCCTCCATAACTACTGCCATAGCCACCTCCACTACCATAATTCCCGTCACCACCATAACTGCCGCCACTGCCACCATAACCACCGCCACTGCCACCATAACCACCGCCACTGCCACCATAACCACCGCCACCATAACCGCCACCGCCAAAACCACGTGGCTTTTCATTGGCAAAGTTCACCCTTACTGGACGGCCATCGAGCATCTGAAATTACCAGTTTGTAACATACTAACATGTTAGTAACATTTGAGTTCTTATTCCAGCAACTACATTTAAATTGATCTTATTTCATTTTCTTTTTGCATTTTCCAAAGTACATGCAAAATTTCTTTCATTTCTATACCAGTTGCTAGGAACAAACATAGCCTAAGAAATTTAAATATAAGTACTATAAAAAGTTCTACTGATGTTTGAATTTCACATATTTGGGAAATTATGACCCCTTTTGGTTTGATCATGATTATTAGTTCAACCATATATTTTTAGAAGTCAAGTATTTTCCCCTGAGCTTTGATTATTGTTGTAATCCCTCCTGTACGTCAAAAAACTAGTGGTTCAACCAGAAGTACTGTCAAATGGCAGCCATTGCTTTGACAAAAATACCCTTATTTAGGGATTATTGGTTAATTTCACTCATCTATGTGTTCTTTATTCTAATACACGGCTGAATCAAACTTTCAGGTTTAGACAACTTCTTCCGTGCTTCAGTTCTTCGCACACGTCACTTCCTCTTCTTTCGCTAAATATCTAGAAACTTCAATTCTTTGCTCCATCATATTGTAGTTTTATGGATTTTCAAGCAACACAAAATGAAGATGATATATGTTTTGTTCCACATCATGCAGAGTTCTTGCACATGCCTATAGAGCGGATTTTACATCTGAATGGATACAAGGCGCTCCGTTTATTCTTGATTAAGCAAATCATGGCAGGGGTAGAATTGGGCATACATGAAGAGGTATTGGTGGAAGTGCTGTTAGAAACGACAATAAAAATGAATGCACTGAGGATGACTATCCAATTTAGTGATAGTAGTGATCCTGCTTGAATGTGTATTACTAACGAAGCTTCAAATGACTGCGACTTTTGATGAGATGGATGAACCTCAAGTCACTTATAATGGGGATCAACAACGTTCGTTCAGAGAAATCAGATGTAGGTACTTTTTCATGTGATAGTGAAGTGAAGGTTCCCTTCAGAAAAAGATGTAAAATGGACCCCTTTTACAAAAACACATTATACATGAAATAATGTCAAAAATAGAAGTTGGGACTTTTTGGCTGCACAAGAATAGGACTGTTTTTTTTAAGGATAAAAAAGAGACCGGGCTAAATTGATTCTTCTCCATTTCTGCCAGTTTGAGTGGCAGACGAAGGACCTCTCCAGCCAGCTTCTGTGACAGACCTTCACGTACAGAACATCGGCGCCCCCGCCCCTGCCCTCGATGGCCAGCGACGCTGGCACTCACAGTGGTGGATCAAACTTTGTTTTCTATCTGTGAGCTTCATCCATCCGACGACTAGCTTTGGTGGCTGGGGTAAATCTGTCATCCACCTTGGGTCTGAGCAAATCCTCTGTTGGCCTTAGGAAGCGCAGATCTGGAATTTTGGCTTACAGAAACAGGGGTTAGAGCAATTCAGGAGGAGGCTGAGAAGGGAGACTGGCCAGGAATGGGAGGGGGCTGGGAAAGGGGCTGTCCAGGAAGGGGAGGGCGCTTGCCGGGGGGGCTGATAGTTCGGGCTGATAACTATCGGGTTGGTGCTGGTCGGATTGATCATTGGTCGGTTTGGTCATGGTCCTGATTGGGTAATTAGTCAATGGTCAGATTACTCATGGTCACAAATTGGGTAATTGGTCATTGATTGGATTGGTCATTATCACTGATTGGGTAATTGGTGACTAGTCAGATTGGTCATGATCACACTGATATGGGTAATTGGTGACTGGTCAGATTGGATGATCACTGATTGGGTAATTAGTCACTAATTGGATTGGTCATGGTCACTAGTAGTAGTTTAGTCTCATTTTTGGGTTTTTTTTAAAGTAGTCATACTTATGTCTATAGGATTTATTATAGTACTCCCTCTGTCCCCCTGTTATTGTCTCATTTCATATTCACTTGATCAACACAAATCACTCTTAATCTTTTACTTTATGTATCAAACTTTTATCAAATTTGATTATGGTTTTTGCGACTTTGTTAAGATTGTAATGTAGTTTTTGAATATGTAACTTTTTTTTCTAAAAATAATTTAAGTGCGGACAGGGATCCGTTTGCTTTATCATCAGTCAAGCATAGTAAACTGCAATGGGACAATAACAAGGGGACGAAGGTAGTATTATTTTTGGAAAAATCCCATTATACTTTTCAAATAGGACATGTATTTGACTCTCTTCTTACATATAGAGACACCTTGAGAGATTATGTACTGAAAGAAGGCTATGAACTGAAGTGGATAAAAAATGAAAAGGATAGGGTCATGCTTAATGTAAAATTGAAGGGTGTAAATGAAGAATACATGCATCCTGGTTACACAATCAAAGGAGTTTTATGATGAAAACAATCTCTGAGGAACACATGCATGAGACTTCATGGGAATAAAAGCTGTCATGCCAATATAACAAGAGTTATAATTTGATGCAAAGAGTTGATGAAGAAATGGGAAGTTGAACCTCTTAAGCGGCAACAAAAGTTATCATGGTGCACGACAATCATCATGGCGTGGGGGCAATTTACCATGGCAATGGCGCAATTACGGCATCACCATGATACACTAAAACAAAGAAGTATAAATATGACCATAGATAATATAGTAGTATGACTTAACCACCAATGGTAGTATGTGGACAAACATTTGAGACTAGAGGTTTAAAACTGAGCCGAAGCAAAACTGAATATATGGAGTGAAAGTTTGGTGGAGGTAGAAGTAATAGTAACAGTGGGATTACCCTTGATGGCAAGGAAATACTAGCATGTGATATGTTGCGTTACTTGGGCTCCTTAATTCAGAAGTATGGTGAATTAGATGGAGATGTATCTCATAGAAATAGAGTAGGGATAATGAAATGGAAGAGTGCATCAAGATTTCTATGTGATCGGAGTATGTCGACTAGACTGAAGGGTAAATTTTATCGAATAGCAACTAAGTCTGCATTAATGTATGGCATAGAGTGTTGGACGGTGAAACAATGTCACATTCAAAAGATGAGAGTGACAAAGATGTGTATGTTGTGTTGATATGTGGACATACCAGAAAGAACGCTTAAGGAATGAGATAATAAGACAAAAAGTAAGAATAACACCCATAGAAGATAAGATGCAGGAGTCTCGATTGCGGTAGTTTGGTACAGAAGACTAAGTGATGCACCTGTTAGACGACTTGAGAGGTGGGGAGAAGAGGGAGAGGAAAACTCAAATAGACTTAGATTACAGGAATCAGAATGGATATGTTTCTTCTTGGGTTGGATAAGAGTATGGCTTTGGGAAGAACAAAGTGGAGAGCGCATATTCTTGTGAACAATTGATCTCTTTTCTCTCTTCTGTTTGTCTTTTATCTTCTTTATCTCTTATGTTCTATGTTATTTTTATCTTTTATCTTTCTTATGCTATTTGGGACTAAGGTTTGGATGATGTTGTTGTTGTATCTTTCTTATGCTACTTTATCTTATTATTTTTTATCATTCTTATGTTCTTATGCTATTTTTATCTAACACATTTTATCTTACTTTATCTTTTTATTCTTCTTATCTTTCTTCTCTTTTTGGCTCCGATATCATGGATCAATTCAGGTTAACCGACCCCAAAATCTTTTATGAATAAGGTTTGGATGTTGTTGTTGACTTAACCACCGATAAAAGAGTTAAATAACCAAACTAATACTATCATACCTTTTTCAATATACTTAATATTTTATACACATAGGTATTATACACATGATTTAACATACATGATATATAGTTTATAATGCATGAACATGTAGCTTCGGGCTAAGTAGCATGAAAACGGGAAACATTGGAAACGCCATTTTCCAAAAATACAGGAAATGAAGCATGAGGAAACGCTTAATATAAAAAAAATATGGGGATTATTTTATAAATATTATATGCTCATATTCGTATACACACACATAAATAAAAAAGAGTAAAGTCAAACTACCAAGTACCACACCACAATTACTCCTTAGTAGTGGAAAACACATTGTCTACGTTGCACGGAAACGCGAAAATCATGAGGAAACGGGAAACGTCAACTTTTGCTCAAAAAACGCTTATTTGGAGAGTTTCCAAAGAGTTTCCGGGAGTTTCCGAAACGGGAAACGTACTCTTTCACGAGAGTTTCCGTGGTACATAGCACATCATCCATCATCATCACTATTAAATTTGACTTTTAATTTACACCCATTTATATGGCCATCTACGCCCACTATCAGACATTCACAATTAAATATAGGGTTATGGGCTATGTACAATACAAGAAAATATATTATACAGCTGCTTAGTATTTTAATACCGATCGAGAAGCGAAGAACAACAAAGGTAAAATGACAGGCCAATCGTAGAAGAAGGGGAACGATTTAAGAGTCTGAAAGTTACCGTAAATTGCTAAAGGCGAAGACTTGCTCACCAAGATATTGAAGACAACGAAGTGCTGAAGAAGACTAGGGTTGAACGCATTTTTGGGGAAAACGAGTTTTTTGGGAAACTCCGTTTTTTGGGAGAAAACGAGTTCCGAACTTCACAAAATTAAAAACCAGCCCCGACACGCGTTTCAACCATTTCTTACGTTCGGAAACGTGCACACGGGGAAACTCACCCTTCTTGGCGTTTTTGTGCATTGTTGGCTTCAGGTGATAAGGAATATAAAGCAACATATTCCGGCCAACACATCAACAACCACAATGAAATAAAGATAAGGATGATATACATAGCAGGATAACATAGTATTAACTCAAGAGGTAATACCACAACCGGTGAGAAGTCCAAGAAGAAAGGAGGAAAAAATAACTTATCGAGGCTCGAGAAAGAGAGTAACCTGATGTGCGAACTGCAAAGTCTGTGGACAAAGTCGTAAAGAGAAGGGGAAGACCGGAAGCAGGCTCGGCTCAGCACAGGTGCAAGTGCACAGGGCCCCCAAATTTTAGAAGGGCCTCCAGTTTTATTACGATTGTAATACACTAATCCCATTAGGAAAGAAATTATTCCAA